TTCGACAAAATCTCTGAAAATCTTCATTTTGTTATTACCTTTTCAGTACAGGTGATGTACCAGTGTGTTGAGGAGGCTTGTTCAATTTTTATCTAGCTTGTTTAAGTTTTATCTAGGGATCTAGCAGATTTCTCCTTTTTCAGCTTTTAATGATGTCCCCTGAGATTCTTTTTATTGTTAAGGAACATTTCTTCCATTCTGAGTACTGGAGAGTAGTAAGCATTAAGAATTTTATAGGTTTCAATAAGGTCTTTCTTTTCTTTCCTCCAATGTTGTGAAATTGAATCTCTGTAGTCTCAATTCGTATGGTACGTTGCGAACTTCCGATGGAATTTTGGTTAATCTGCGTTGGACTCGTTCCAGAAGTTCAATGTTCTTAATATAGTAGGGGCTCCAAACAGTGTAGCCATATTCCAGTCTTGGTCTGATGTAAGTTATGTACAGGTTTTCGATCATGTTAATGGATTTGTTTTCGCATGCTTGTCTCATTAGGTAAATGAGCTGATTGACTTTTTTTAACAGTTTTGGATACGTATATTTCCCATTTGAGATCATTTGTGAGGTTAACACTAAGGTCTTTGTGTTCTGATACTTCCCTTTAGCTCAACATTGTTTATTTGGTAGCGGTTTTTTGAGATATTTCGACCAATATGTAAAACTGTACTCTTACTTTCATTTAACTTTATCTACGTTTGTATGGTGTTTGTGTCATTTTTTAGATGCTGTTAGTTTTTTGTCGTCTCGTTTGCGAATGACTCGACGTTTGCTTCAATAAGGGAGTTAAATCCGGGATGTATATTATTAGGAACAGTGAGGCCAACACCGAGAATGACGGTTAGAGTATGTTCCGTTTTGGTTTGCTCCACCGCAAATAGTTCCCTCTTATTCCGAAATGAGTCAGCTTCGTTTCAGACTCGTTTGTGTGGAACTGTATCAAAGGCTTTTTGGAAATCAAGGTTAATTACATCTACTGGTTTTCTTTCGTCCAAAGCTCTAAACCATTTGTCAACGCAGGAGATCTTATTGGTAAAAAGCTGTGCTATGATGCTGGAATTATGTTGTTTACTAGGACGAATACTGTAGTTTCCTTGGCTAGAATTTTTTCCATTACTTTGTTTTGTATAAGGTGTATGTGAAGCTGGATTGGCCAGTAGTTTTCTGGGTCGTATTTATCTTCACCTTTTTAAATTGGGATGATAATTGCTTGCTTCCAGATGTCAGTTAGCGTACCCTTGTTTATTGAATATTAGAAGAGCTTGGCTAGCAGCGGCGATAGCATGTTGCCACATATTTTCAAGAATACTGCCGGTATTTCGTCAGGTCCTGGAGTTGAGTGAGTAGGTTTTTTGGTACTAGAGAGCTGCATTAACCTTCTTTGTAATGAAGTTGATTAGAGCTAGTTCACTTGGGTTTTTGGTTTAAATTGGAAGGCAGAGAAAACTATTTAGATTTTGTCTGGTAAAGACAGAGTGGTAATTGTTCATCAAATACGTTTGCTATTTCCTTGGGATCTTGTAGGACTTGCTGGCTTACAGAGTTTTTGAGAATCAGATCATTCAGATGGCTGTTTAGATTGTTGTTTTGTGTCCTGTACAGGCTATAACTCGCATCTGTTTTCTGTTTTATATATTTGTTCTATAGATTTCTCTTTTTGTCGATTTCTTTGGAGATTCTTTGATTTAGCCAAGGTTTTTGGCTGATGGTTCTGCACGTCCTTTCTGGGAGAAACGTTTCTATCGACTGATAATGGCGTCCTGAAAAGTTTGATATTCCTCACTGTTGGTTGAATGTTTGACATGTGGTTTCCTATATAGTCAATTACATGTTGATAATTATCGATGTGAAAATTTGGTTTTTTGACTTTCTTGGTTCGGTTTTGGTTACCTCTGATTATTATATGCGCTGTGGTTTTTATTGTTACGTGGTCGCTCTTGCCAATGGGAGGACAACATTGGATGTATGATATCATTTTTTTATCACTGGTGAGAGACAGGTCAGGCAGGGAGCTTTGATTGTTTCTGAATCGAGTGTGAAAAATTACCAGTTAACGATATCTCTACTCCTTGTAGTGTGAAAGAAACTCGCTCGCTTTTGGACAAATACTTCTCTATGGTTCCTCTATATACTCTAGCATTTTCGACCAGTTGGATGGGGACACCCTATATATTAACAATAAAAGGGGACCATTTTCCAGCATATAGTTAAGAAGGGATAACCAGGGATAATCAGGAATAACCGAGGATAATGGGGGATAACAGCGGATATCCGGAAAATAACCAGGAATAATCAGGGAAATAACTAGGAATAAACTTGAAGTAGGAAGGACGTTTGGTGTACACAATTTTGCAATCGAAACCCTCCTCAGGGGATTTCACTGAGAATATTTGGTGTACATAGTCAGGGATAACCGGGGATAAATTGGGATTCTGGAGATAACCGGGGGATAATTGGAAAAATGCAAGCATATTTGAACTTAGAATATTGCATTTGGTAGCGTTGGACAGGTATTTGATCATTAGAAGTAAGGAGACAAATATATTAACAATAAAAGAGGACCATATTCCGCAACAGATAGTTAGGAATAACCAGGAATAATAGGAATAACCAAGAATAAGCGGGGGTAACAGCGGATATCCGGGAAAAAAACAGGGATAACTGGGGATAATCAGGGATGACCAGAAATAACTAGGAATAAACTTGAAGTAGGAAGGAAGTTTGATGTACTCAATTTTACAATCGAAACCCCCCACGGGAGATTTCACTGAGGATATTTGGTGTACATGGTTAGAGATAACCGGGGATAGCTTGGGATTCTAGAGATAATCGAGGAAAACCCGGGATAACCAATGGATAACCGGAGAATAATCGGAAATAACCAAAGGATAACCAGGGATAACTGGAAAAATGCAAGCATACTAAACTTAGATTATTACATTTATCAACGTTGGACAGGTATTGTATCATCCCAAGTAGTTGGATCGGTTGGACCACATAAGTTAGTGTGAATAATTTCTTGTTATCATTATTATCCATTGAGTCGGTCGCTATAAGACAAATATATTAACAATAAAAAGAGATCATATTCCAGCAGATAGTTAAGGAATAATCAGGGATAACCAGGGATGACTAGCGGATATCCGGGAAAAAACAGGGAAAACTGGGGATAATCAGGGATGACCAGAAATAAGTAGGAATAAACTTGAAGTAGGAAGGAAGTTTGATGTACTCAATTTTGCAATCAAAACATCTCTCGGGGGATTTCACTGAGGATATTTGGTGTACATGGCCAGGGATAACCTTGGGATTTTAGAGATAACCGAGAAGAACCGGGGATAAACAAGGGATAACCAAAGAATAATCGAGGAAAACCAAATTATAATTAGGTGATAGCTGGAAAAATGAAAGCATATTAAACTTAGATTATATTTAGCAGCGTTGGACAAGTATTTGGTCACTATTAGACAAATATATTAACAATAAAAGGGGACTATATTCCAGCAGATAGTTAAGGGATAACCAGAAATAATTAGGGATAACCGAGGATGACCGGTAATAACAGCGAACATCTAGGGAATGACCAAGGATAACCGGTTATAACCAGGGATAACCAGTGATAACTATGGGGATAACCAGGGATGACCACTCAGAGATAACTGCGGCTAAAATTGAAGTAGGAAGGAAGGTTGGTGTACACAATTTTGCAAACATTCACAATCATATCGCTTTCAATCTGAAGTAAAACTCACTCCGGATTCCAGACTGAAGCTTTGAAATTAAAAATTTGGGACGTGAATAGATTAACTCAATCCATTTAATAGTTGCTGCCTAATGGTAAAACCCAAATGAATACTATAAATAGAGTTCACACCATTAATAGAGTCGTGCGGTGGCGAAAAAATCCCATTTAAACCACCGAAAGAGGCACGCTCCTATCAAATCCCACCGGGGATCACGCCCACCGTCGTCGCCGTAACCGAGCATTGTCCTTAAATCATTCATAATTCCCCGGGTGTCACGTGACCGAGACATTTAGTTGGTCATTATTCATAAAGGGCCCAGAAGTTATAAAATAGTTATGAGACCGGAGAGTTGCGGTCCCGCAAGTTTAAAACCGCACCCGAAACCCAATTAAGGATTTATTATTATGGACTTTAAAGTTTTAATGGGTCAAAAAGAAAATTCTCCGCTACTGATAAGAGATTTTCATTTTCCAGGCACAACCCCTAAGTAAAGAGCGAAAGAAACCCTTATAATACCGCCCTCCCGCACGTCGTCGCCTTGGAAGAATCCAATATCAGCTCCGAACCCTGCATTCTTGTTGTCCAAGGGACGGCGTTCTCTTTTTTTTTTTTCTCGGAAATGTCCAGAGCAGAGGCTCGGTGCTTTCTTTTAGTTGCGAATTAAATGCACCTGCACTGAAAAAAAAAATCATCATTGAAAAAAGGGGTTGCATATATTGCATGAAGGGGTGTTTTTGTCCTCTGCCACTACGGGGGGATAGAGAAAGACATTAGTTTTTCCATATTATAAAGACGTCGGTATTTTAAATAGCGAAATTAGTATTCCGGTGGGGTGAATCGGAAAATATTTGAAGGGTAGCCATCGAGGTGGTATAATTTGATAAAGGAATGACCACTTAATGGGCCACAAAATTATTATGAGGTTGATGGATGATATTGGGCTTTTTCACGTCCCTACCAGCATTATTGTCTTCACAAAGCTGGTTTTGTCTAGGCAAAACTGTATCAATGTTAAATTGCCAATAATTATCCACCTTTCAAATTATATTATCGTTACCGTAAAGACTTTCCTGGAAAATGTATTTTACCTACTTTAACGTTCCTCATATATTGGTATAAGTTGCACTTTGATAAGAATATCCTACTCAATAAATCCTGAAAGTTTGAAGTTCCTTTGACAGCTTGAAGTATTTTTCAGAAGCTTCCAACGTTGATTTAATAGAAACTGAAAATTCTGCAACAAATAAAACTACCTCAAACTTCAGTCTTATAATTTTTATTAACCAAAAGTATCAAGCAATTAACAATAATTATTATAACGAAAACTCTATAGCATTACACATTATAAGCTCAAAATCAACAAAAAAATTCATCCATAATAATATACAACAATTTACACCAAATCACTTTTTCTCCACATTTCCAGAAAACCTGGCAAACATCTCCAAATGCCTCCTCACCAACTCCCCCAACGCCTCTTTTCAGGGCTCCCCTGCCGAATCCTCTCCACAAAAATACGAATTTTGCATAGAATAAAGCCTGTCAATGGGATTGAGGCCCGGTTGAGTGTGTGGCGGATTCTGATGAGCCGCCGGAGGCTGCAAAAACATCCCAGAAGAATTATCTATTGCATTAGGAAAGGTGAGCCCCAAGTAAGTTTCGTCTCGTCGTTTAAGATCCAAACCTGAAATATAGGTTTGGATTTTAGTTTGATGAGATACTAAAATGGTTGGTAGATTGTTACCGGAAAATGAATGTAACGAAGGTAAGTTGTTGTTGCTCTTGTAAAAGAAAGCATCGCTTTCAATTTCTTCTTTTATGTGCGGAAAATGGGGGTTTTCTTGGGTTTGAAGGATGTTTTCTTCGCCTGCAGTTGTTTCAGTGTCGCTGCAGCTGTCGTTGAAGAATGGAGTAGAGTGGGGGCCTGAAATTATTAAAACATTATATTATAATAAATGTAAAGCCTATACTCCTTCTACAAAATAACTCACTTGGTTCTTCCTCTTTTACACTAAACTTCTCCTTATTATCACCTTCCGATTCCTTTCCTCCTGTTTTATTATTATTATCTCTAGCTTTCTTTTGAATCTTCTTCATTTTGGCTCGTTGATTTTGGAACCAAACCTGCACTATTCTTACACTGAGTCCGGTATCTTTGGCCAGAGTCTCCCTTACTTTTCGGCAAGGTTTTGGACTTACTTCAAATGAGGCCTTGAACGCTCTGCGTTGTTGAGTGGTGAGGATGGTTCTTGGACGTTTCGGACCTCTTCTACCATCATGAGATCTACTAGATTGGATCAGATCATCGCAAATGAATTCACCTAATTGAAAACAACATTAGGAAAATTCTAGAGTTAAATATTCATGTACCGTATCCAAATCCTTGCATCATCTCGACTTCTTTTTCATAATCGATCCGGCAAAATAGCTGGCCCTGTTTGATGACGTAAAGATCGCCTTTTTGAAGTCTGATGCCGCAAACGACACACACGAAGCATCTCAGATGGAAAATATTGTCGCTGGCTCTCATTACTAATTCTTCAGGAGAAACTCTTTCTGAGCAACCCAAGCATTTTTTCACGAATAATCTGAAATGAATAACACATGATTATGATGCTCAGAAATGACAACTTTGAAAACTAAAACATGCCTTTATCGTCTGAATTGGCAATTAACACTTTACTTCAAAAAAAAAACCGAGTAAAATTCTCTCCATTTTAATTTTGTTCGAACCCCTCTCTCTGGATATAGGTACGTAAAATATATAGAAGAGAGGACCCCAGGCAGACTTTCTCCCCCCTGGCGCACGTCGAACAAATATTTGGGGAACTTCCCCAAAAACCGAAACCGGGGGCCCCCTCTCCTTGGATACTTTTGATCGATGAACCGAAGCCCGATGACGAGAGCAGGCCTAATTACTTTTTGTTCGACCCTTTGTCTGGGAAAACAAGAAATAATAAAACGACCTGAGATCTTTACACAAGAGAGGGTTTTTTTATATTGCATTTCTTTTGTTTTAGATTGTAATAAATAAAGCTTTCGAATTATACCAAAATGCTGGCTTTATTAGAAAAAGAACTTGACATAACAAACTGATATGGTAGGGGAGGATAGATAGTCCACTGGGATGGCGTTAATAGTAGGACAATACATTTTTCTCTAAGACCTTAAAACATATTTGAGATTTGACAACCCTGTAATAAATTTAAGATGGATGACAAACGTCACCAGCCATATTGTAGGTTGATACTGTGTTGATAGTATGTGATCAACGTGGTTTTAAGAACCTCTCAGTAACTTCTACTTGAAATATACACAGTTAAAATTCCTCAATTGTGCAGTCTCTTCAATTTACAAGTATGTATATTTGAACACACACTTTTTAACAATATATTTGTGTTTGTAGCAATTTATTAAAATATTTGGTTAAGAAACTACACAAATTTTATGTTATTGGTGCTTGTTTACGCAGTGGAACGGCATCAGGTACTACACATACACTGAGACAGTGTCTCACTGGGTACTACTCATGGTATATAAAGAATTAGAAAACCTGAAGCTTGCAGTCTATCTAGACTAACATCGTTTAACAAGCAGAATGTTACAGTATTTTTCAATAATTTGGAATCCATTTTGAAACGATTTCAACAGTTAGCGACCTCAACTTGTATCAAAATTTGGTCAATAACTGATTGAAAAATGTGTGGAGCCCACTAAATTCCAAAAGCTAAACGTTATAAGCATATCGCTGTGTTAACAACTAACAATTTTTTAGTCTCTTTACTCACTCTTAACTGTAAATATGCATTCTTTAAATCAATAACTGGAAAAACCTTACCTCCTGACAGTGATGCAAATATTTCATCAGTAGTTGACAGTGAGTAGGTAGTACTGATTCTCAATAGAAGGGTTAATTGTTCACTTAAGATCACCACAAATACGTATCTTAACATCTGGTTTTCGTACTACAACAATCGGACTCGCCCAATCGGATGTGATGACAGGTTCAAGAATAGCCTTTCCGATCAATTTATTTATTTTATGATTGGCTGCTGACTTTTGTAGTTCATCTTTACCTAGGATTTTATGCTTCCAATTTGGAATTAAGACATCTAACCAATATCTAGCCAACAAACAAAATATTGCTAGGCTAGTGTTACACTAGCCTAGCAATATTTTGTTTGTTGGGTAGCTAGTGTTACATTTGGAAACATTGATCGAAACGTTTTATATGGCATAATGGTACTATTTGCACCTGTATCTATCTGCATACTTACTGGTTCACTATTAATATGAATACTTAACATAGCTGGACAATGACCACCTGTTGTAACTGATCTAAAAACTTCCTCATTTTCATTAATTTTAAACCAGTAAGCTAGACCTTCATACAACTCTTCTTCAACGTCATTTTCATGTTGACTTCCAACTTGTTCCTCTTCTTCGGTATAATGCACTTAATTTTTGTGACATATCGGTAATTTGGCTGTATGTTCAACTTTATTGCATCCAAAACACATCCAATTCACAGCTGGACACTTTGACGGGTCGGTATGGACTTTCAGACATATTTTACAATTATTTTTGTCCACTTTAATGATGTCTAACCAAAAAGGCCACGCTTTAAAGGACCCCACACACCTCTTATATGGGTATTTGGTTTTCTGTCAAACTCAATAAAATTTTGATATGTGTTAGACCTTGACTGCCTGAACGATTTAACGATTCGAAAGCATTATAGAACCATTTTAGAACTTTATGAAGCATTCTGGAACGCTTCAGAATATGCTAGTGCCTGTTGGTATTACCAAGTTCAAAATGTTTTTAATAAATTTCATTTCTTAAGAAAAGGGCGGCGCCTCTGACACTGCCTTCCTGTGCTCCCCAGTAGCTACGCCACTTGTCAGGTGTGATAGAACTGACAGCAGAAAAAGTCAACGGGTTTTTTAGTTATTGGCTTGAAGTTTTTGATGTTGTTAAAATAAATTTGATAAAAGACGAACAGTTTTTCACTCATAACCTCATAGTTCAATAGGTTATGGGCCCAGTTCAAGTGGAAGTCGCGAAAGTTTGCGTCGTACTTGTTTTGAGGTGAAAATTCGAAAAACCCGAAGTGAAAAATTGTTGCGGACATTGGAAAGAAAAATAGTTATAGTAGTTATGCTAATTGTTGAAACATAGACATACATAAAATTTGCAGTATACTAGTATGACACTATTCGATAGTAATAATTATTTGAATTTCGAGTTAAATTATTGCTTGATTGAGCTGAAACCCTGGATGTTGTTACAGTGCCTGTGGAAATGCAGCAGGTATTACCTCATTACAAAAAGACTGATGCAAAGGCTCGAAACATAATCGTCCAATGTCTGGCAGACAACATGTTAGAAACAATAAGAAATAAAAAATCAGCGAAGGAAATCATGGAATCTCTAAAACAGGCATATGTTAAAAAAAAGGAATATCTATGCAGGTACAACTGCAGAGGAAGCTAAGGTCAATGAAATTTATGGAAAAAACCCCACTTAAATACATTCTTTACTGATTTTGATCAAAAGTAAATTAAATAAAAGCTGCTGGTGGAATTGCAGATGACAAAGAGTTAATATGCCAGCTGGCTGTTGTCAGCAATGCCGGACAGTTTTCAAGTTGTAACGTAACAGCTACCTATTGATGTAATGTTTTACCCGGATGAATCAAAGGTGAGCCTGGACGTTCTCGAAAATAAACTTTTGATGGAAGAAAGTCGAAAAACGAAAAGTGTGAAACTTGAATCAAACGATGCTGCGTTCGCATCTAGTTATAGAAATAAGAACTTTGGGAATGCCTCAGGAAATGCATGTAAAGATAAATATTTCCCTTTTAGATGTCATTTGTGTGATGAGGTTGGACACATGAGAAGATTTTGTCCTAAAAATAGGCATTACCAAGTAAATTACAAAAAAAAGCACGCAAACATAGTTGAAAGTAACAACCAGCCTAATCCAATTAATGATAATGATGAAACAGAGGATGAAATATGAGAAATTTCATAAAAGTTTAATGATCTATGAACCAAGATCAATTAAAATTGGCTTTGTAGTGGACAGTGGTGCCACACATCATCTGGTAAAACTAGGAAATAGCAGTGCTGGCTGAAAAGGGGCAAAATCTATCAGTGATAAAATTGGTCGATTTGTATGTTAAACAAAAATACACGCCTGATAAAAAAATAAGAATACAAAATGTTTGGGTGTGCAAAAAATTGTCACACAATTTGTTGTCCGTCAGAAAACTGGAAGAAGGTGGAATGAGAGTTGTATTTGGAAATGGAGAAGTAACTGTATGGAAGAAAAACAAGATAGTTCTAAAAGGAAAAAGATATGGTAATTTATATATATGTCGTAGGCATATTGCAAATTTGGGCTTTTTATAATTCGCCTAGACATTTTACAAAAAGCCGGCAAAACGCGAGCACAAAATTCATTTTTCGTTATGCCGACACCAATTCAGGCAAACTGATAAAATGCCGGCAAAAAAAGAACAAAAGAATATATATCATGTTATGACTGATTATTTTTAGGCATTTTACAATTTGCCAAAAACGGTGCCGTCAAAACGTGAAAATAAAGTCAAAAATACGTTTTGTGAAAAATACTAATAAATATTAATAACTTCGCACAAACTAGCAACCAATTCCTTAGAATCACTATTACCTAATCACAATACTGTTGAAGTAATTGTTCAGTTCTGTATATAGTTCGCCTGTTGAAATAGCATTTCTCTACTTTCGTATGAAAAGCTAAGCTCCAAAGGCGGATGTATATATCAACCACCCTACACAGCGAAAAGTCGCTGGTCACAGGTAGAGACAGTTCAGTTGCGAAAGTAAGATCCAGGGATCCATTTGTAACTGTTCTTCACATTGTTAAGTTGCTGCTGCTAACTTATTTCAGCTGTTTTCATTTCAGCTATAACGAAAATATATTTCAGCTAGAAGTTAGAATATTTCCTTCTGGGCTGAAACATCAGCGCAGGGAAAAGTAAAAGAAAACCGAGAGTATTCGTTGATTACAGCGAGTATAAACTTATTGTTAGCCGAACTTGGTCATGGTCGAACTACTGCTTCAAGGATAATCCTTTACTGGCATGGCAATGGATTCCATCGTTTGATTATAATGTTGATTGGCTAACTCACCATGATTAACAACTTTAGCAATTCCTGCAGCTCCTCCGCTTAACGCACCCAATGCACTTAGTCCAGCAAATATTGGTATTAATGGTAGAATGCTGAAGTTTGGTAATTCTAAACGCCATGCTCCTAATCTAATCACTCTTGATAATAAAAGTGCTATCATGGGTCCTGTTGCTGCAAGCCTATTTGCAGGATATTTTCCCTCGATTTACTCTGCCTGGAGTCTACAATGCAATCAAAAGTTGTCATTAAATCATATCAATGATCACAATTACTGCATTTCCATATGTGACACACTAAACGTATTAGCTGGAATCCTCACAAGGATCCGGGTCCCGATAATATTCATTATGTATTTCTTAAAAACTGCCCCTTCATTCTCGCTAGGCCTCTACACCTTATCTTTAACATATCTTTGGATAGTGGATCTTTTCCCAAATTCTGGAAAATAAGTTTGGTCGTCCCAATACATAAATCTGGAGAAGGGTCCAATATAAAAAACTACCGGCCCATTTGCAGCATCAATACCATCCCTAAACTTTTTGAAAACCTTATAATATGTGTATCTAAGTTCACTATTGTCTCCTGATTAACCAGTATTATGACTTCTGTGTGGGTAGAAATACTACACTTAATTTCCTGACATATTCTCAGTTTGTATATTGCAGGCCTTGGAAAGTGGACCGGAGGTCCATTTCGTCTACAAAGACTTTTCCAAGGCTTTTGATATGGTTCCACATAATATACTGATAGACAAAATTAAAACGATGGGTATAAATGAACTCTTACTTTGCTGGCTGGAAAGCTACCTTACGAATAGGATTCAAATTGTAAATATCAACAATTTTTTGTCTAACGAAATTCCTGTGCCGTCTGGGGTTCCACATCGGACCACTTCTTTTCAATATCTTCATCAATGATGTTATACCGCGTTTTCAGTCTTTGGAGTTCCTTCTGTTTGCAGATGATCTTAAAATGTATAGAGTACCTAATGCCTAATTTTAATGACTGCATTGCTTTGCAGGAGGATATCTACAGATTTGTGACTTGATGTCGTGATAATGCTAGGCATGTTAATATTTCTAAATGCAGTTTCATGATATTTTCTTGTCGTACAGTTAAAACCAATTTCCATTATCTTATTATTGGTGCAACCTTACATCAGTTGTTAACATAAAGGATTTTGGAACTATTTTTGATGATAAGCTATCATCCTGCCTGTCACATATCATCAATTATTGAAAACTCACTGAGAATGTTGGGATTTATCAAAGGTAATACTTCTCACTTTGTTTCTACTGTACGTTCCATTAAAATTCTATATTGCAGTCTTGGTAGAAGTCTCTTGGATTATGCCACCTCTGTATGGGACTCTCAGTATGCTTTCCATATCCACAGAATTGAGCGAAGTAGAATGCAAACCAACATCCGCTCCTTGATTTTTTCTGTCCAGTCCAACCTTTTCGAGGACACCTGTCATAGTCACATTTGAACCTTGCTAGATTGTAACTTATTTGTTAACATTGTAGGGTATCTTACTTTGTAAAGAATAGTTTACTTACATATACTTATGTACTTTGGAATATTATTATTATCCTTTCCTTTTACTTGTTGCATGCACATGTTAAATTGAATCTGAATTATATTCTTATCATTGTTGGAAAATGGCACTGCTGTCAATAAATTAAATGGATTCCATCATTTGATTATCACGTTGACTTATCATCATTAACCGCTTTAGCAATTCCTGCAGCTCCTCCACCTAACGCACCCAACGCACTTAGTCCAGCAAATATTGGTCCTAATGCTAGAATCGTTTATACTTTGCAAAGCAACTTTGATCGATCGATGATTTCAAAAAATCCAGGTTTTTCAATTTTCACGAATGAAGCTTTCCTTCACTGTTAGTTTTCTGTAGTTTTTGTCCGCTCTTATGTCACTTTGATAGTATTCCACTGTAGAATACACAGATTTTAGAGGGCACGTATTTTGTCTCTCAAATCAAAGTTTCTAATTAGTCTTTTCAAGAGTACCTAGGTAATCTTGGTTTGGGTTTTTTTGATATCTCCAAACGTTCCAGATTCACTGGGACATAATTCAATTTCAAAAAGGGTGACATCCAAAGCAAATTTGAAACTTTCTGGAGAACAAGAAGAAGATTCTGATCTCCTATGATTCCTATGAACATTTCGTAGATACTGATGCAAACTTTTGAACCAGAAACAATTTGAAATTCTCATATATGAGCCTCTCAAAAAAAAATAATCCCTTTTCTATTGAGAAATACAAATAATTATTGAGCACCTGTTACAATATCATAGCAAAATTATACAGGGTATAGTGCGGTGATCGGTTAATGTTATGCACCGACGCGTCGCGACGCCTATTAATCGCCAATTTCTGACGCCTCCCGTATAATACGGGATGACAAATGGCCGTGACCGAGGGGGAGAGTGCGCCACCGAGATCGTAACTTGCACGTGTTCGCCAGTGCGGTCTTGTAGAATTATTTTCGATATGACGCATATAAAAACTGGATCGCACAAATATTTGTTGCCCAGGTACCTGTCAGTTGATTTGACGGATCATATTAATAATAAATTAATCATTTTTCTGGATTAAAATGTGACGGATTTTCGACATATTTCTGGCAGAGATTTGCTGGCAATGGGTAAATATAAGGCGGCATATGGTTTTTCCTTGGGTAAATAGATTTATTGTGATTGAGAGGGATTTAATTAAATTCGTAATAATAATTATTATACATAGTGAGAGCTGTCTGTGTGGTAAAGAGATCCTGATCCATATGCTAGCTTTAAGTTGGGAAAAAGCTCAAAAATTACAGAGAAAATTCATAAGGTTTCCATCATCAATCATAATTTGAGTCATATTGTTAAGGAAAGATTCAAAAAGTCACATGGAATCAATCATTGAGAGAAGTGACGGATATTTTCAAATCTCCTCTCTTTAAATTTACTGAATCTTATTCAGGAACATCAAGCCTGAACTTGAAATAAAGTGTCGTTCTCAATACGTATTAAACCGGATCTTGAATTTGATCTTCTAAGCCTTGTTCATGATATCATAGGCCTAAACTTGAAATGAAGGAGGAAAAACCTTTAAAACATTGAAGAGTTTGATTCAATGTAAAAGTTTTCTCTGTAACTTTCCTTCCTATCTTAAGGCAAGGAGGAAAAGGAGATAATTGAATGTTTCTCAACAATCTCAACTATTCAAATTTGTAATTTTGGTTGCTCAAAACCGGGGGATAATTTTGATTTCTCAGCTAGTTCTATAGAACAAAGACAGCAAAATATGGAAAAGAAATAAAAAGAAAAGAGAAAGTGAAAATTATTGCTAAAAATACTGATGACTCTGATGAAACATGAAACATTTTTCCTTCATATGTCGAATAATCTCGTACAGTACAGGCAAAAATTGCACTATCAACATAATAAAGCCCGAGCCACCCTTAAAAGAGATCAAAAAAAGGCCACGTGACGTGCAGGATTACGTTACGCCCGGCTGTTGCATCGTGGAAAATTGAAATTTCGGCAGCATGTTGCAGGAGGAGGTCGATCTTTTCCCGCTCGGATGCGCGCAATATGTTTCTGTGTAACGTCTGTGTTACATTATACATGATTTAGACTATATTGTAATGTGTGTCAAACCGAGGGATGAAGTCGACGAGTAAATGGAATTATCTCAAGCAAGTTGAACAGAGATTATATATGATATTTATAGTATAAAAGTAGGACAATTTGTGATTTGCGCATGTGTGAATTAAGTAGTTGAAGCGGATTTGAGCCAATAGGAGATGTCTTTTATAAATCTTACTGTTAACTCGTATCACAGTCAAACTTTAACTTAAAAACTATAAAGCAATAGCTGCCTTTATGTATCCCTAAATCTATTCCTGTAAAATCTAGAATACACACGATAATCTTATTTTCCCGATTAAAGTAGAATAATTCGCTAGATTCTAGGATATTCGACAGCGAATGCCTAAGATTCTTGACAGCCTGGCGGATGCCACATTATTATTGAATCAAATCCATTCAGTAGAATCTGCAAAATCATATTTTTTATTTCAGATTATCAAACTCTGGACGCTATTTTTGCTTTCCTATGTCGGTAAGTATAGATTTACGTTAGTTTCACCTCAACTTTAGTATCATTATGACCATAAAACAGACAATTTTATTCTTTACGAAGTTAAATTGTAATATTTGTAGGAATTTTATCTAATTTCACCCCAAAAAATCTCACGGTTTCCGAAAAGGCCAACCTCTCTCGGGTAAATGTTTACACAACCGCGCGACACACGTCCCTAGAGCCCCACCGGCTACCAATTTGATTTTACCCAATATAAACGGGCCCTTTGACAGGGAGCCACGTGCCCATAATATACGCTTTATAGCCCAAAGGGCTAAACATATTGTACTGTCTGTTTTAGTTGGGATTTGCCGGACTGTTTGTACAAACAACCAGTCAAGAATTGTGAGAAATTTTGCCGAGACTCACCTATCGTAGTCCAGACGACAGTAGAGTTTCGAATCTTTTACGAAACAGGTGTGGTGTAGTCGGTCGCCGCACGCGCAGCACTGGACGCATTGTTCGTGGTAGGACAAGTCCATGATGCGCAGTAGGAAGCGGTCGTTGATTGGTCTGCAACACATACCGCACAGACCAATACCGGCAGCTGAAACAAGTAATAGTTTTGCATTCAACTCTACTACCAAGTACCTACTAGGTACTACCTAAGATTTTTAACTAAACGATCTATTGGATAACCAAAGGATAATCATTGATTAATTTTAATATACAAAAGTTTAAAAGGTTTCTATCGAAAAGTTTGTATTTTATGTCTGACCTTTTGGAAACTATATGGTAATTCTTTCGTACTCTCTGTTCTAGAGAGTTCGACAACTATCGAAAACTATCGATAATAGATGTTAGAAGCCAATTCTTTCTATAATTTTTGATATATACCACCAGGCTTTTGTGATGATGTCAGGGGATGACAGTGATTCTTATTGAATTATTGAAAATTTATCACATTATTCTTTGTAAAGTAAGTACTTTTGGAAGTAGTACCTATCGGCTCTTGCTGCGAAGGTATAGCTATACTTGATAAGGGTGAAGGATAAAAGGCATTATCAGTTTTACCATTTAGCGAATGTGACAGAACACTTCTATTGCAAGTATGGAAAAAACCAAGAAAGCCTTAGAACTTCATCGGACAGTTTTTACAAGGATCTGTGATAAAGTAGAAGATGAAATGTCCAAAGAAAGGTACAATTTAAGTGTAGTACATAGTAGTATTAGAGTTTTGGATGATAAAATGCTTAAATCAACTCATGTTGGACTTGATGTTAAACTCAGTTGACGAGGAAGCAAGTATAAATTGTGCAGTAGAATTCATGGATGAGTTGAACTTTAGATATCACAAAATCAAATTCAACTTTGATAAGATGTCTAATGAAGATACAAGCTCTCAGAAATCAGAATCCAACTCCTAACTAAAACTTCCTTAAATTGAATTCAGGCAGTCTGGAGGAGACATCAAGAGTTGGCTTAGTTTTTGGAACCAATTTAGTCGAATTGATGAAGATTCTGACATTCACATACAAGATGAGGATAAGCTGCAATATTTAGTGCAGGCTACGACTCCACTATTCCAGATTCTCGAGCAAGACATCTAGTTGAGAGTTACCCGGGTACTAAAGATAACTATACTAAAGCAGTTGATAGTCTGAAACAAAGATTTGGAAAAGGAAATCTGTTAATAGAAGTTTATCCAACCAAATCTCAATACAAAAAATAGATTATCAACATTTTTTGACAAAATCGAGTCTCAGTTAAGAAAGTTTAGGAATACAATCCCATGCATGTGCTGCGATGCTTCATCCGTTAGTAGAGTCCTTTTTAGGAGAAGATCTGTGGCACCGAAGTCAGCTTTACTCATCCGCTTCTAGTTTATAGAAGCGTCTTGACACCTTAATGGATTTTCTTAGGCAAGAAATGGTGAATGAAGACAGAATTTCTCTTGCTGTATCCAGTTTTAAGGATAGAGGATGCCTGAAGATAAACACATAAGTACTGTTCCAACAGCGTCTGAATTGTTCAATAAAGGAACCCCACAATGTGTTTTTTGCGAAGGATTACATTTTTCTGACCAATGTGAAGGAGCCTTGAAACTCAGTTTTGACAAAATGAATATATTTAGGGTTCCTTATATTATCTTGGTTCTCAGGTTTGCTTAGATTATCGTCGGAAAAGTTTCTTTGTAACTTTCCCCCCTATCGTAGGAGAGGGGGGGTGGTAACGTGTCAAAATTGCCCTTAACTATTTAGCACTTATTTTCAGTTTTTCCTTTCAAAATTCCTATTAATATTTAATTTTTCCCTGATTTCATTAGGCTTTGTGTAAAAAGTTGTCAGATGCTACTTATTGTCATTCCTGTACAAGTTTTGGTCATGTTTATCGAAGGTGACGTTTAAAAGCAAAATGTCCTAACTGTCAAGGAAAACATTGTAAAGTTATGTGCCTGGAAGAAAATTTTAAGTCCTCAAACTTCAATGCTTGCACGAATGTTTGAGACCAAAATTTCAAAATCAGCGAACAACATCTCAAACTCAAAATCTCTTTATTTTTAAATTCAACAGTTACAAAAACATAGGAAGGAGGGTGAGGCCCCCCCTCAAACAATATAAACATAACAATTACTAAATCTAAGGACATGACTTACAACTAACAGTATCAGTGTGCGCAGCACACTGCGTACCTTTGTGGCACTGTCGCTAGCTTGGCCGATGTTATGGCCGACAAGCCACTGTCCTTTTCCCCTTGGTTCTTTTCTCAACGTTCCCTGGTTGCCCTTTAACGTTCCTATATGACCTTTTCAGTCGTTGGTTAGTACCACGGATGGCGCACATTGGGCCATTATACTGGCCCGCCTAAAAAATAGGGGTTGATGCGTGATGTGGGATGCCGAGCGCGCAGCGCCTTCTTTGTGGGAGAAAGTTCCAAAAACCCCACTTCCAATTGCAAATAAGAAAAAACAAAAAGGCGTGCCCCGTAGGGCGATATGGTCCGATGGATGCTTCCTCAACAGCAAAGTGTGAGCTAAGGGTATGTGCGCGTTAGCGCGGGTTTGGATAAAATGGGGTCGACAGCCCTGCTCCCTGAACAATCCTGAGACCTGATGAGTCTCCAGGTAGTGGTTTTGGTGCAGGTGGAGGAAGATTGTGAGGGATGTCAGAGAATGAGGGTTGGAGGGATTGGGTGCAAGAATCTACCGGGATTGGGATATGCATTTGCAGCTAAATTGGGCAGTTTTGCCTAAGTATAGTGGTCAGATTGGGGTTATCCGATGATTAATTAGACAAGTGCATTTCCTCATAGCCGGCGATAAAGGAGATGTTAACACACTAGATCGCTGGCTGGTTGGAATTTTCCGAAGAACAGATGATAGAACTTAGACCTATGGTGGGATTGCCAGAGCCTCCTGCTTTAGGCTAAGGCTATTGGCGCCAGCGCCAAAAATCTTGTCTAATTTTGTCTTGAAGTTAGGATTTTAGCTGTGCATTGGTATGGGTACTTTACTTGGGTTTGTGATTAGCAGGTTCGAGATAGGGAGGTGTTCATGGGGGATCAAAATAGATAGGTAGATTCTTGTATGGTGGACCGTGAACTATGGGGTTTTCTGGATCATATCTTTGCGCAGTTATTCTGCGGGTTAGAGAGGAGCCATGAATTTGATGTCTATAGAACTTATCGCTGATTTCATCCAGGTAGTCAGATATGTGGAATGCATGCATGTCCATTATTCTGGCGTACCTGGATTCCGACAGTACTCCCCTCAGTATTCGATTCTGAAATCGTTGGAGGCGGTTCCTCTGTGTTCTGGAGATTATGTTTCAAACAGGAGCGCCATAGGTAAGCATAGGTCTTATGATCTGTTTATAGATTAAAAGTTTGTTACCTGGCGATAGGGGGGAGTTGGGACCGATGAGAGGGTACAATTTCTGCTGCGCACTGAAGGTGCGAGCTAATGCGTGGGAAACGTGGTGGTGGAATTTCATTCTCTGATCAAAGATGATACCTAGGTATTTGGTTTTTGGGGACAGAGTGACTGGGATGTTATTTACGATAAGTGGGGTGGGCATGGTGCTATTGGTATGCTTCTTGTGGAAGCATATGTGCTTCGTCTTTTGACCATTAATACCAAGCTTCCACTTATCGTAATAAGGTTGAAGGATTGCGAGGTGATGGGCTACCTGAAATTTTGTTTCTTGTGTGTAAAAGGATTGAGCGTAAACAGCGGTGTCATCTGCGTACAGCGCCAGATTTGTATTCTGGAATTTTAGAATGTCCGCTGTGTACAGAGAGTACAGCAACGGACTGAGTGCCGACCCCTGCGGCACTTCGGCCTGAATTGGTTTTGAGTTTGAGTGGGCGTCGTCTTGTCTGACGCAGAAAGTGCGGCCGCTGATGAAATACTGTATCAGGGAGATGATGTGCAGTAGGAAATTGAAAGTTGCGAGTAATTTGTAGATAAGCCCTGCGTGCCAGACCCTATCGAAGGCGCGCTCCATATCTAGGAACATAAGTGTTGTGTTCATGCGCCTGTTGAACGCTTGGAAAGTGTCGCAGCAGATTTTGGCTGCAAGAAAAGTGGTGTTGTGACGGGGGCGGAATCGAACTGCTCGTTTGGGAGTATGGAGAAGTTTTCGACGATCCTGTTGACCCTGCCTGGACAGGATTAACTTCTCCACGAGCTTGGCAAAGAAGTTTAGAAGGGAGATTGGGCGGTAAGAGGATGGGAGTGAATGGTTTTTTTCAGGTTTGGGGATCATAACCACCACAGCCATTTTCCATTGAATGGGAAAATGCTAGAGTTTGAGGATTGCGTTTGTTATTTGTACCAGCTGGACAATAACTTTACGCGGGAGATTTTTGAGGACTCGATATGGGATGCCATCTGGTCCGGGGCCTTCTCCCTTGGGAGCCGGCGGATAAATCGTGTCATCTCGCCAGGCGTGGCAATGAGTTCAGTGAGCAAGTGCTGGGGGATGGGGTATAAGTTTTAATGATCTGAATTATTCACCACTTCATAATCGCTCCTTTCAACCCTCGTGCGATAATCATCTCCCGGTCCATAAGGATGTCAGTCGTTTGGAACATTAAATATGATGGACATGAAAGTTTTTCAGATTTCTTGGAGATAATCGAAGAATTAAGGATGTCTAGAGGGGTCACAAAGGATCATCTTTTACGTTCCAGTTTTGAGTTATTCATTAAGGATGCCCTTTTGTGGTACCGTACTAGTAAATTTCTAAGCTGGGACAACTTGGTAACCCAACTGCGAGGCGATGAATTTTTTTTGTGGGACCAAATTCGGAAACGTACTCAGGGTGCTCAGGAACGAGTAATAACTTTTGTGATCGCTATGGAAAATCTTTCTCGGAAATTACCTCAGGAACCTTCTGAAAAAGTTAAACTTCAGCTTATTCGTAAGAATATTTCGCCATATTTACAAATTCGACTGGCTACCCAACAGGTTTGTTCTGTCAAAGATCTTATCCAATTTAGCCGAGCTATTGAAGAAACAAAGGCACGCGTACAGGGTTTCGTACCTCCTCCGACCAACTATCATTATTTATTGGAGCCAGAGTTGGCTTATCACAAGCCCACTCA